TTATTATTATTATTACTGTTATAGCCCGCGATGAGATTATTTGTTTGGAATGCATACGATTTACGACCGATTATGTCGGTTGCGCGGGTCGACGTTTTACGAGTTTACTTATGTGTGGTCGAGAGTTTTCTTAGGCTTTTTTTCTGCTATTTACTTATTTATTTATTTATTATTTTAACTTTTCTCCTTTTTTTTTATGGTGGTTATAACCATCGAAATTTACTATATTTAAACGTTACGACTAATACAGTGATACGCTATGTATACGAAACACCGCGAGTTTCGCCACTATATAGATAAATATATCGTTCGAAAATACGAAACGCCATGCGTTCATAATATTATCATATGATAGACATTAAAATAGTCGAACGTATACACCGTAAACKGACACAAATATTATATGGAACGTTTATTTTTCTTCCTATTTACAAGGAAATCGTGTACTGCAGCAGTGACAGCGGTATGACAAATCGTGCGTCGTAGTATAATTAGAAACGGACAGAAGACAAGGAAGCGCGTGTCACCACCATATGTATGTATAGTCTCTCCGAAAATTATCATCGATCAACGATTACTATTTAATTATATGATATCATCGGAGCTCCTGAGCGGAAATAATTTTCTCACTCCCGTGGGCAGCGTGCAGAAGCCGTGAATTACAGACAGTGAGTTACTGCAGAGCACTTCCTTGAGAAAACCAATAAACTAGTAAAACGGCGGAATGCCTATGAGATTGACGATAGGAGAAAAAAAACACTTTCGGTCTCTGATGCTGTAGCCCGGACGTACGAATTCAAGATTTTTTTGTAACATCTACTCTTATATATATATCAGATATTCACTACGTATATATATACATTTTTTTAATAGGGTGATTAGGAACGTTCGGGAGGAAGGGACTGGGATCACCCAAATCAGATTTTAACCAAATTCATAAGATTTACAACATAAACAGAAATTATTCATCTGTTTTGTATGCTAAGGTAACAATATAATTGAACAAGTAATTGGTATAGTATATTAATTTTAAATGAATAAATATACCAGACAAGGACAACGAATCTAGCATAACGATATAGAACTGCATAGAGGAAAAACAACGCAGCCAGTGCTGTGGCCAGAATGGTCTTTTGGGTTGGAAAAACTCTCCATAGCCCAATTTTATGCGAAMAATAATTGCAGTACCATAATATAGCATAATATAATAATTAAGATTTCTAAAAATTATGTTCTCGTATAAAATGGTTATTCGTTCTATTTTACATTTTATATTATTTATACGGAGATTGATGACCTAAATGAAGATCTTGTAAAGCTCCCCACGGCCCATATTTTATATTAACACTACCCTAAAAAAAACTCGAATATACGAGCCTGAGAGCTGCAGCAATCTCCTATATGTATCTATATATATCCTGCAGTACGATGAGACAGTTCGACTACGGATGCTGCTGAAGATCAGTAAAAATATTATGTASGTAAGTACAAAAAGTGAATAAAAGAATTATTAATTTATGCCGGAACAAAAATTTTCGTTTCCTCCATGAAACGCGTATATATTGACCCTTTCTATATGAATTAATTATAAATATATATATTTTTTTAATTACTGCGTGTATTGGATTTGGTTCAAGATGACATGGTAAAATGCTTAAAAAATATTTTGACCGTTTTTGACACAATTTGTTTAGTTTTTTGTGCCGTTATGGCCATGTATGAAGTCATCGGATAATTTTTAATTTAAATAAATTCTGACTACTAATTTGAGCCATTTTAGGTACAATATGTAAAAAAAAAT